TGGGGGGGTTCCCAGTGATCCTGGCTTTGAGAGGAGCTGTGATTCAAGTCCTCTTAATAAATGTGTGCCTGCTAACTCCTTCCCTTAACTCATCCCTCCGTGCCAGGTCAATTTTGACCAAAAACCATGGTTTTTTTTTTCCCCCAGAAGAGGTGGGGAGGTGCACTGGTTTTGGGGATGCAGTGCTGGCAGAATGCAGAGTTGTCTGGCTGTCTTTCGGAGGGATGCCGGGTGGCATCGTGGCTTCTGGCAGCACGACTCTCCGCAGCCTTTAAACCCCGTCCCAGGCACATCCTCACCTGCCCAACTGTCTGTGCTCTTCCAGTGAGCGCTGGCTTCTGGTGCCCGCAAAGTGACATGGAGCCTTTGGAAAGAGCCCCAGCCTGGTGTTTGCTCCAGCGCAACACTGGGATGGGAAGCGATGCGGCCAGGTGGTGTTTGGCTATTTTTAAATTTTTTTAAATTTTTTTTAAATTATTAAAAAAATGCAGTTTGAATTGAGGAGGGCTTTGGAGGAGTCTGGGGGTGAGGACCTGCCTTCTGCACCCTCGGCGTGTGGGGTGCTGCTCCCCGGGAATCGGGGCTGTGCCGTGGCTTGGCACATCCCGCGGGACACTGGCTTCCCTGGGAATTGCTGGTGCTGTCCTCGAGCACCCCTCCAGTGACTTTGGGAGCAGCGGAGGTCCCGAGAGATGAAACCGAAGGGTGGTGGGGGATCATGGGGCGGCTTGCCATTGCTCGCTCTCGGTGGGTTACAAATCAGCGCTGCTGGCATGGGGATTTGTAACCGGTGCTGTGCGGCGAAGGTTCACTTGGGAACATCGAGCCCTTGATATGTTGTTTCAAATAAAATACCAGCCTGTTGTTTTACATGCAAATGGGTGCTCTCTGATAACTAAGTGCTTTCTAAGGGAGCTCTCTTCCTATCTGATCCTATTTCATGTTTTTAACATAAATCTGTTTATCTGCCTCAGAAAAGCTGGGGACTTGCTGCTTTGTTGCTGCACAGCCTTTGTCTCCGTCCCCAGAGGTGTTGGGCTCTGTGCAGATGTGCAGAAGCAGCGAAGCCGAGCGAGCGGCTGATGCCCAGAGCTTGCCACGAGCTCGCCGGGGGCACGGGGGGGCTGCAGAGACACGCAGTGTCCGTCCCTGCGGCCGGGGCAGCCGCTGGCACGGGCTGGGGACGTGCAGCATCTCCCTCTCCTTGCTCCTCACCCCTCTTTTCTTTCTCTTACTGCTTTCTGGTCTCTGATCTGTTATCACTGTCTCTCTTTTAATAAGTGTGAAATGGGAGCCTCTGGGCACCATCAAAGCATGGGTTGTTATTGTCTCTTATTGTTTCTGTGTTAGCTCCTGGACAAGTTAGGAACAGTTTTTGGTTTTTTGTTGTTTGTTTTTTTTCTTTTAATAAAGTAGTAAAAGTTATTCTACTTCGCTTTCCTGTTGAGGTGCTTTCTACCGTTAGTTGATGTGTAATGGTCTTTGTTTCCTGTGGCTTTGCAGAGCCTGTTCCAGGGCATTTGCTGGGTTAAATAAAGCCAGTAGGATATTGCACGGGAAGAGCAGCGTCACTGACCTTCCTAGACAAGCAGCACCTCCAGATTTGCTACTAAGTGATCTACCCAAAGCCAGACCATCAGCTTTTTGTCATCGTTATTTCTTTATTGATTTATTCTCCTTCATTGGTCAGGTGGAGAAGAGCGGATCTTTTCTCAAAGGTGTCACTCACTCTTCATTTCTCTTTAAAATTGGCTTTGGTTCAACTAGCAACTTGTGCAAGAGGCTGGCTGGGCAGCAGGATGCAATCCAAAATCCTTGCTTCATCTAAAAGCAAGCAGCTGCTGCCTCCTCCCCGTCTCACCCCTTCACTCTGCAAAACCAGGGTGATATCATCGATACCAGGGTGATGGCCGTATCGCCTGGATGCTAGCAGGAGAGGAGCACGTTTCCATACAGAGTAATTTGGGATTGCTGCAGCTTTTGGGTACCAAAAGCAGGATCTGCCTGTGTAGGCGGGTGCTCGTGGAGTGGAGTGCTTCTCTGCTATCTGCAAAGATACCTGCTTTTTCTCATCTGCTTTTATATGTGGGGCTGTGACAATCTAATGACCTTTCTGTTGTAGCTCCGTGAGCAGAGATGAGTGCGGTGGGGACTCCCGCGTCCCAGAATAGTTTTCCTCCAAGCTCCACAAGTCTTCCTGTCCAAGTCTCTCATTGCATCAGGTTTTTTGAAATAATCAGCCCCTGTGGTTATTTCAGTTAGCGCTAATTAGTGGCATGAACTAATTAATGTGGGTTGACTTTCCCCTTCTCTTTCTAATGCTTTTTTAACCCACTGACACATTCCAATTAAGGGACTCATGCAGGGACTGGACTGAAATGACTCAGAGCAATCACAGTTGGAATAAATCGTGTGCTTTACTGAAGGTCACTAATATTTTTTCAAATTGCCAGCGTTGAGTATTTGTGCCTGCCAACAGGGAGACGACCTGACCTTACAATAAACATCTGAGATATCTTCAAGTTTGCCTCCATTTCAGTGCAAGCAGATTTGTGGGTACCACGTTGATAAGCATTTGATGTGCTGAGAACAGTGGCACAGAAAATAGCCATGGGAAGCTTCTCATGAGGACTGCAGACCTTGAGGCAAGTGGTCTTGACCTCACAAGGGCCTTGCTTGTTTGCATCCATAGCTGTGCAACGGTAATAGAGGGCATAAGCTGAACGTTACCCGCCTGCTCGTGCTTGTATGAGTGATTTCTTTTCCCCTTGGTTGCGTTACTGTAACTTGCGGAGTCCTGTGGGCTCTGGCTATGTCCCTGCCTGTGCTGACAAGACCCAGTTGAGAAGCAGCTGTCTTTGGGCTGGGCGAAAGCCACAAATTCAGTGGTGATAAAACCTACAAAGCTGCTGTCGCAGTGTTTGTAGCTTGTTTAACAAAATGCTGGTAGGAGCCATGTGGAAGGTGAGCCTTCTGCTCCATGAGACCTGGCATTCCCCAAGTCCGAGGCGAGAGCAATGGCAAGTGGGAGGCTGGAGCAGGGCTGGAGAGCCCTGTGCAACGCTTGCAAATCCTTCCTGTGCACTTAAAGTTGAGGCTTTATTTCTGCAACTTCCAAGTCCCATCCTTGCTTCTCTTCGGGTTGGCATTTTCTGGAAAGTGATGCTAGTCACTTTCCAGAGGTGAAAACTCATTTAGCTTTAGCAGGAACAGACTTTCTTTTGGATATAGGGACACCGTGCTGCAGAAGTACCAGCAGCAGGGCGAGCCCGTGTGTTTCCATTCTCAGTCTCTTCCTGCTGTATCCAAGTCAGGTCATGATGCTGAAGTTCCCGTCTTTCCTCGCTGTGTCATGTCATCCAGGTTTTGCTGGAAAATGCTTGTATTTCTACCAGCTCTTCCAGCTACAGCTCATGATTTAAGGTGCAGAGCTGCTGGTGTCTCCCGTGGACAGGCGCGGTAGGGTGATGTGGGTCTCCCTTCTCCCAGGGGGATTTAAATGCAAGCACCTCATCGGTGCATCTTGTAATTGCTGGGTTAATGGAGGTGAAAGCACCCTGATTAAACTGCAGCAGGGAGCAGAGAGCAAATATGTGATTAGTATTAATAGCACCGGTCAGACTGTATTATGCAAATGATGGGAGAATAGACAATTTAGTTATTCATCTTTAACCTTTATTTTTGTTTAACGTGACCTTACCCATCAAGTCTCTCATTACCGTCTCTGGCTGTTCAGCGTATGTTCATTTATTGTGCTGCCATCAATCCAACAGCCAATGTCATGGTCCCGGCCGGCGAGGCTGGATGCAGTCTGGACATCCTTCCTTACGGATGCTCCGGGGGCTGGTTCCCAGCCCTGCGAGGAGATGGGGGCTCGGGGTCCCGCTCCCCTTGTTTTGGGTAGAGCTGGTTACACCAGGTCGTACAGCTGCTGCCGAGGGACACGTACCCTTCTCTCAGCTCTTGGGTTATGCCTCTAACCCTGTGTTTCCTATCGTTTTTGTAGCTGTTTCTGGTCTGGGTGGGTTTGAGCAGCCTGGGGACATCCAGAGACGCCAACCTTCCTGCCCTGTGTCTAGCACCGTGGGGGGAAGGCAGAAACACTGTCTGCCAGTTGTCGGGGGTTTTTTTTTGTTTTTTGTTGGCCCATGCAGATAAAGGCTCTGGCACATCCTTGAGTTGGAGCTGGTTTTCGCGAGCTGTGTCCAGGTTGGCAGGAATCTCTCACGGGAGCAGCGTGGTCCCTCTTGCTGTGGGGTGTCTGCTCTGATTCCCTGCAGACTTTACACATAGCTGGACGGTATTGGTTTTGGCTGTCCCTCTCTGCTTTCTGGAGGTTACAAATGGTGTAGGAATATATTCCAAGTGAGTCTGAAGTTTCATCGGGCCATCTGGATGAGTCCCACTGAACTTACACTGGGTGGTTGTGAATGTTGTGTCTCATTTGATGCTGAGATGGGTTTGATTTTGAACAAACTATTTCCCTCACAAACTCAATCCACATTGAAGATACGGTACCCTGCTGCAACCTAAACTTCTGCAGAGGTCAGCCCAGCAGCTCGACCCTCTGCGAGCGGAGTGACAGCACTGACAGCAGTGGATGTCCCTCCTTGTCTGCTGGTCTCCTCCAGGGTGACTTTGGAGGGAGTGGTGTTTATGGAATTGAATTTCTTTGCAGTTGTGGAATTGCATTTCTTGCTATTAATGTACTTGGATTTTGGCTTTCCCTCTTTAGCCCTGTGCTTCTTGGCCCACAGCTCCTCCTAACTCTGTCCTTGATGTTTCTGCTGGAAATGCACATTTAAATCAACTAGACAGGGTGTAAAGAGAGGGGGGAACCCAAAAGACGTGTGTCCCTGCAGCCGTGAGAAGCTGCCGTGACATATACCCCGATCGGCTTCCCAGCCACGCAGATGCCAGAGCAGTCTCCTAGGATGGGGCTGGGAGAAGATTGAAGGGGAGATGTGGAGAAAACCTGAAATTTCTCTCTTGCTTTGCAGGGTTTCAGCGGGCCTCCCCACATAGCATTTGCCTTGAGCTGCGACCAACGAGCGGTGAAAGAAAAATATGAGCATGAACCTGCCCATCACCTGGACTACGAGAGCGAGTTGTCCATCCGGATAGGTAGAGCTGGGCTCCATCCAGGCAAGCATCCTGTCATATACCAACCGCAGAGTGTACGGGGAAAATACCCCCGTTAAACTGGCACCTAGGCTGTCACGTATGTGATTGAAATTAGATTGGTTTTGACATGTGCATGCAAAGTGCACCTTCTCTTCCCTCTCTGGATCTGTCTCTGTGCTGGCTCTTAATCCAAGAATCATTACTTCTGTTTCTACTTTAGTTCTCAAAACCACTTGCACGTCTGTCTGTGCCTATGAATTATTGATAATTAGATATCTCATTCACCAGGGAAATGAAATTGTCAGCTTAGCTCGAGATATGTTTATTTTCAGCGTGGGCGCAGCGAGCGCTAACCCTGCCCTTGCCAAGTTATGCCACGTTGAAGGTGCCCCGCGACACTGGCCCTTGGTGGCCCTCCCTAATTATAGACTAGGACTGGCATTCGTGCTGTCACTCCTTATTTTGCAGGTTAATAGAACTGTAGCTGCTACAGCGTGGAGTAAAATGTCTTGTTTGGCAGCTATTTCCTCCTTACAGAGATGTAAAAGAAGGAACTTCTTAGTCAGGGTGGTAGAAGCTCATGAGGCTTCCCCAGGTTCAGGGTGTGTGGGACGGGTGGTGGCCACCCTTGCACCCGGCTGCGTGGGGATACATCCTCTAAGGCAACACAGTTTTCTGTTCCTCTACTTAACAGCAGCTTTTCAGTAGACCAAGAAAATGTAATTTAGTGAATTAATCTTATTGCTCCCCTGCTTTTTCTTGGTTGGAGAGAAACTGAAATAGCAGTTTACAATATCTTGAGTACAATTGGGAGCAGACTGAGATGAAGAAATGATCCTTCTTTTTGCAAAGAATAGTGCTAGCCTCTTAAATCAGGCTCTGTTATTTAACTGCATTGCTTAATTGCACGTTTCATAAAGTGTTTCAAATCCACAGGATTTTTCAGGACTTGAAATACCGGCTTGGATTTTCTTCCAAAGGGATGGAAGGAAGTTTTGTGCTAGACTCAATGGATTTTGGATCCTTGAAGGCTTTTAGCTGCTGGGGCAAGTGCAAGCTTGAAGACTGCTCTAGCCCTGCAGGCTGTAAGGCTGTTATAAGGTTTTTGATATTTTTGTAAGGTGGAAACTTTACATCCCTGGTGCAGTTTAATTTTATTCTTCAAGGCAAAAAAAAGTAGGCAGCCCTGCAATTTTCAGAAACTTAGGCTGCTGGGGTTTTATGTTTTCATCTCTTAGTTGCAAACAATAACAGTGCAAATGGTTTTGAGAATAGAAAATTTCCATTAGACTTCATTGTTTTTCCTCTCTGGGGAAATGGTATTAAGAGTCTACAATACATTAATTCTTTTATTGTCTCTTACTGTTTTTTTTTAAATTTTTTTTTTCATACTGAAATGAACTCAGTATTTTCACAAGATACCTCAAGCCTTCCAAGAAAGCAGCTTTCCCCAGCTCTGGGTACTGCTTGGCTGTGCTCTGGGGAACACTCTGGGAACATAACGGGTATTTTCAAAGTCTAATGGGTACTAAGTGGAATATTTCAGACTTAATCACTGTTGAATCATTGACCCTTCCTTCATATTTACATGTTTTAAAATCGCTAAAGCTGTGAAAACAAAGAAAAATCCCAAAGCACACTGCTGCCTTGTTTTGCAGTTGTCTTTACTGCCTGGGGATGGTGATGAGGAGCAGGGGAGCTGGTATGGAGATGGCTGGAGAACGGAAACATGCAGCTCTCCAGGGCCCTGCATATCTGAGGTCTTTGCTGTTCGAGATGTAAATGCATATTTAACGTGACTGCGTGAGAAATTGGGAGCAGAAGCGACTGTGCGGTTACGGTGGGGTGGTGGGATCCTTGTAGCTGCACTAAGCAAGGGAGAAGATTTCTTTTAGACCTGTAAGAAGGGAGATGGAGGAACTGCAATAGTTAGATCTATCCCTCATCTACTCTGTTGGGAGAAAAAAATTCTTATCCTGCTTTTTCCCCCCAGTCAGCAGCGTGTTGGGGTGGCTCTGTTCTTCCCCATCACCTCGAATCGTTTGGTTTCCCATCACTTGCAAGTTGTTTGTAGGGAGTGAGGAAGCATAGTACCATCCCGATGGGGCCAGGAGCCCCCGCCCCCGCATCAATCCTGCTCCCCTTGTCCTCCAGCTCCTCTCCAGCCTCCTGCTGCCGTGCGGTCACCGGCATTGACGCTGAGTTCAAAACGAGATTTTTATGGGAGTTGCTAACAGCTGGCTGCCTTGTGGATACATGAATTAAGGCACATGTATCCACAAGAAATGGAGTATGGGTGGATTTGGTATGAATTGCAGGGAAAAGTCTGTGTCTAGACTTGGTATTTGACGAGTGGGATAATCACTAGGCTTTAATTACTACAAACGAAAGAGAATCCAGCCTTGTCTTTAATATATCTGGGTAGGCAAGGGATGTAATCTGTATTTCTCTGCCTCCCTTGGAACAGATTGGGATAAAGCTAAGGAGGGTTTGTACATTCCTCTGGGTGCAGCTGAAGCCCCCTCCAGTGCCGTGGAGGGACCCGGCGGGCTGTGCCCTCCCTGTCGCGGGGGCTATGGGCTGCCCTGGTCCCTAAACCTCCCCCTGCAGCCCCGGGGCTCGGGGCAGCTCAGCCTGCTTGAGGTTGCAGACATTAAAACCAGAGGAAATAGTTTTGGCAGGGTCACCGCAGGCTGCGGGACTGGAGGGCCAGGCTTGACCCCTTAAATCGTAGCTACGTGCATGGTGTTCTTGGGTAGTTCTCAGAAAGGATTTACATACAGCATCGCACCTCGAAACCTGAGCTGTGACTCATGCTCCTATAAACTGTATATTTAACAGCGAGTTAACAGTTGATTCTTTATCACGTCCTGGTGCCGAGTGATTCACGTCGCTCCAAATCAGATTACGGAGTGGAGTGGGAGGGCAACGATGTTCTCCAGCAGCCTCCTCTGCTCCCACTTTAACATCCTCGCTACCCTATCGCAGGTGGAAGATCTTCTGTGTCCAAGGACATGCTTTCTAGGTGCACTGGGGCAGAGGAGTTTAGAGCAATGTGGCTGTAAAGTGCCCGGAGTAAAACACCAAATATCATTTTGGTGCTCTGCTGGGAGCATCCTCAGTGGTTGTCAGAGCTCTGGCCCTGGGGAGTTAAGAGGAGTAGTCTCTGAGCTGGCTGCTGACCCGAGCTGCAAAAATAAATGTCTACTGAAGTACCTGGCTAACCAGCAACATCTCTGCTCGCTCATCGTCCGTCCCAGGTGCATGGATGTCTGTGCCAAGGGGATGTGATGCTCTTCTGGCATCGCGCTGCCAACACTGTAAAGTCACTAATATTATTAAGGGGAATCAGGGTTCATTTTAATGACTCGATTGACTTTTGGTGGAGCATGATTTAGGAAATGGTACTCTGCGTTTCTGCATAGATGTTCAGTAAGTAAATCCAGATGGGTTTAGTAATTGGAAAAAGATACTGGTGTTTGAAATAGTGTACTTAAGAAATGAAATTTCATTAAACTTGTTACTTAAATGAGCCATGGGGTTTGGGGGCATCGTAGAGAAACCTCATTACATAGAATTTGTATTTTTTCCTTAAATTTGAGATGCTGCATCAAACCAGCTGCGATGTTGCAGAGACTTAGGCTGTGTTTTGGCTGGGGAAGCCCTGGAGCAGGAGAGGTGGGTGGGCAGCACGTGGGCTGGGGGCACCACTGGCACCAGACCCAGTGTGGGTCCATCCTGCTGCGCTGCCCCAAGACCCGCTGTGCCTGTTTTGGCAGTACCACCGGTGGCTCAAGTCCTGTAATGATGTAGTAAACTTGGGATGAAAGGGAGGAAGGGAGCTGGGCAGATAAGAGGAGACAAAACCCCTTAGGGACCAATACTAAGAGAGTGCGTGAGCTGAGTCGTGGGATTGGCACTGATGCTTCGGGCAGCATATGGGTATGGTTTGCCTCTGTCTCTGTTTGTGTCCTTGCAGCCATAAAATTCCCTTTCTGCCCTGTTACTACTGGTGTACCAGCTGGTTTCAGAAAGTCCAGCCTTGTCGCAGCTTTCAGGCTGCCCTGATCTGTGGTTATCCCCCGGTGCCAAGGGGAAAACTTCTCCATAGAAATGGCCAGCTCCCATCATAAGAGCACGAGTGGTTTGCTGATGCTTACCCTATAAATTTTCACCTTGTTCCCTCCTTCCCTAAGCAGAAGCTGAGGCCGTGAAGGAGGGATGATGTATAAAGCCTCTCCAGCCATGAAACTCGCTGTGATTCATTGGGGTAATATTCATCCAGAGCCTCGCGTGTGCATCCGTAAGGTTCATTAAGTCATTGCAACCTCTATAACACGAGGCTCTTTCTGCAAAACGGGATGTTCACCAGTTTTAGATGGTTCCAACTGTATTTGTAATAACATTGACATGTTCACATCATGCGTGGTCCAGAAAACTGCTGCTTTCAAAAGACATCAATTAATTTTGAGTTTTAATAGCCAGCCTCGATGATGAACACCTCTGGCAATGTCTGTATTGATTTAAAAACATCCTAATGCCCCTTTCTGGAGTGTTTCAAATGGTTATTGACCATCCTTGTCAGGCTGGGTTTCATGGTTGGTTTTTATAGTCATGACTAAATGTGAATTTATGTACGCAGAGCTTCAAAAAAAAAAAAATAAAATCGGAGCACATAATCCTTCATAAACTGATGAAATGCCTTCTTCACATGTAGATCTGTATCCCCATCATTCTGGTTGCAGCCTTACTCCTTGGATTAGGAATTTTGAGTTTACAGGGCTAAATGCATCCTGGTGGTTTGTTCTCCTTGTTCTCGGCATTGTCACGGGGTGTAAACATCTTCCTTCTGCTTTCCAAGATGCATGTAAAAATGTCTCGGTTATATTTGCAGAGGACCCAGTTCTGTACTCCTACACTTATCGCAGCCTGCAGTAAATAAACCACCCAGTTCAGCAGGTTGCTCTGGGTGTAAGTCATTAGAATTTCCAACTCCAAACAGCCGGATCCCCAAGGAAATGTTAATCTGTGACCTACCAGGAGAGAGCCCTGGCTCTGGGAGACCTGTGCTGTGTCACGACTGCCCTTCTGCATCTCCGAGGGCTCTCAAGATGGGGATCTTTGTGTTGCATATCCCTATCTGTTTGCTATTGCTCATTTCCAACTTGCTGGGGGAGCAGAGCCTGTTTTCGCACATCGTGGTGCTTATGTTATTACTAATAGGGAGGAGGAGGAGAACCAGGCTGCAGCAGCACTGGCAAAATGACTTCCAAATTCCTTGGGTGTTGTTTTTTTTTTTTTCCAAGATATTCTTGAATTAGTGGTAGGTCTTTATAGAGTTCAGCTGCCCTTTGAAGAGAAGTCTTGAGTTGATTTGGAAGGTTGTCAGACCCTTCAAAGAGGAGG